ATAGTATGCAAGTCTGTCAAAAAATAACATGACATCCAAGACAGACATAAAGAAAAACTATGTACTCTTGTTTCAATATAATACAAGTTCTTTGTAAAAATAATTGAGATAATAGGATACAATTAAAAATAATTTTTGGAACATTGCAAAATAATAAGGAAACATTTAATGTAATGATTAATGTTTTTAAAATGAACCGAGTGTACAAAATAAGAGTCTCTGAATAAAATTTGTTATGCTATAAGTTTAAATTCGGCATAATCTTTGTTTAGCGATTTGTGCAGTATCCTGGAGTGTGTCATGGGCGCTTTAAGTGTACACACGTTCTAATAAAAACAGCAAAATTTGCTCAAAATCATTTTCACCCCCCCCCTATTTATGGAATTATGTGATATCAGTGTAAGCATGTTTGATAGTGAGGTCATTACGTGACATCAGTGTAATCATGTTTGATAGTGAGGTCATTACGTGACATCAGTGTAATCATGTTTGATAGTGAGGTCATTACGCTGTATCGGTTGAACCATGTTTGATAGTGAGGTCATTACGCTGTATCGGTTGAACCATGTTTGATAGTGAGGTCATTATGTGATATCGGCTGAACCATGTTTTATATTGGGGTCATTATGTAATATCAGTTGAACCATGTTTGATAGTGGGGGTCATTATGTGATATTGGTGTAATCATGTTTGATAGTGAGGTCATTATGTGATATTGATTGAACCATATTTGATAGTGAGGTCGTTACGTGATCTTGGTTGAACCATATTTGATAGTGAGGTCATTATGTGGTATCAGTTGAACCATGTTTGATAGTGAGGTCATTATGTGATATCGGCTAAGTCATGTTTCATATTGGGGTCATTATGTGATATCAGTTGAACCATGTTTCATAGTGGGGGCATTATGCAATATCAGTTGAACCATGTTTCATATTGGGGTCATTATGTAATATCAGTTGAACCATGTTTGATAGTGGGGGTCATTATGTGATATTGGTGTAATCATGTTTGATAGTGAGGTCATTATGTGATATTGATTGAACCATATTTGATAGTGAGGTCATTATGTGATATTGGTTGAACCATATTTGATAGTGAGGTCATTACGTGATCTTGGTTGAATCATATTCGATAGTGAGGTCATTATGTGATATTGGTTAAACCATATTTGATAGTGAGGTCATTATGTGATATTGGTTAAACCATATTTGATAGTGAGGTCATTATTAGTCCCCGTTCGGACGCAGTCCGAAAACGGGGACTTATGTTTTGCCCTGTGTGCGTCCGTCCGTTCGTGTGTCCGTGATCACCTGTATCTCGAACATGCATGGACCGATTAAGTTCAAACTTCACTCATACATCACACATTATATGGGACATATGCACATGCATTTTTTT